AGGTGCATTGTGCACACTTTTGGGATAAAAATGGGATAAAAATAGGTTATTCTATCCACCACAATTACGCATACATACTCATAATTCTGCGCAATGTTATTATTGTGTAAGCCAAGCCACACTATCAACAACAACAACACACATACACACAGAGATCACCCCTATTTTTACCATTTTTGCTGCACGACAAACTTTAAGTGGATCTTGCAAAAAAATTGGTGGGTGCATTATCATCATTTCTTCCCATGCTCCCAAATTTCAGTCGTCGTCCTGTTCCAAGAATTTTTTTATCCTGGTCTCATAATGCGTCTCTTTTACGCATTATGTCAGAAAATCATAGCAAAAACGCACCGTCTCCCACAATCAGCAGCTCATGTAGCCATTGATAAAATAAAGTTGCTGCATGATTCCGTGGTTTGGTTGTCTGGGCCTCGTCTCGACTTTATTTCCACAAATGAAGCCCAGCCAAAAAAACCATGATAAAAATCCATCCATCCAGCAGAGATGATATATAATAACAAGGTTTGATTAGTGATCATCATTACGATACGAGAAGACGAAGAAGGTGGTGGTGGTAGCATATCGTGCCATGATTTGATGTCAAATGGTGGTGTTACTCTGTGCCAGAGGAAGGATTTGTGGATTATAAAATGCTGAAAAATAATCTCACATAGATAGAAGAAAATTCGTATAATAAACCAAGCCAAGCCAAGCCAAGCAGCTCTTATTGCCAACACATCTTATGCATTAGTGCACATATATGCACATCATGCCTTCCTTCATGCACTGGCTGGTCTGGTGCATGTGTTATTTCGTAACATTTTTAAAACCTGTCCTGTATTAAGCGAGACGTTGAAAGAAAAGCAAAACTGTTTCGTCGCAAGTTTACAAGTTGGGCAGATAAACCACAGATAAACCAAAAAGCTTGGTTCGACTATGTTTCGTTAGTTGGGCTTGTCGTGCATCATATCATACAGAACTTCTTGTACATAGTTGGTTGGTCAGTGGCCGCGGAAGCTGGGGGGACATTACAATTGTAGGATGGGGGAGGGAGGGGTTTATACAAGATGGGGAGATGATGCGGACATCGAACAACCGTGGGGACATTGCCCCTCTGTCCCCTCACGCTTCCGCGGCGACTGGTTGATTCGTTGGTTAGTCTGTGATCTAGACCAGGTATCGATACGTGGAGTGGACTCGCTTTAAATAAAATGTACACAAAAATAAATTCGTAGAAATAAATATCTAATGAAACCGGATTTGTTCACGATGTTTACCTTCAATCAAAGGTATGTATGCATCCAGTCGAAAATGTCCATAATGAACTCACTGAATGTGGTTTGGTTTGTGATTTTTACATATTTGGTTGATCCTGGTGGTGCAATGCAATGCAATGCCAAAAATATGTGAGTAAGATGACTTGGTCTTGGTTGATTGATGCCATCGAATTTTGTGTGGTGCTAGACTGAGACGCAATCAGAGACCAATTTGTTTAGCATGATACCTGGACGAACAGGTCAGATTTTGGCTATTTTATTGATCAGACAGAGATGATTTTTTATTCGTATAGCAGAGCACTGCCTGCCCAATAATTCATCCTCGTCATTCAGTTCATTTCGTGTGTGGGGATATGCACGTCATAAATTTTTGACAATTTAATGGCATTAAGAGCTACGACGTGTCCTACAGATATTTTCCCTTGGGGTCAACTCCCCACTGAAGTTGGTTCCTTTACTGGAAGTGAATTTAATGGGAAAGGAAGCGACTCTACATAAGTAAAAGTGCATTTCCAGCCAGCTAGTAGATTTTTTTATCCAGTTGGTGAATCACCCATCCGTAAAAATAACCTCTTCTCACAATTCGGCTAATCATTTTGCATAAATTTTGTGAATTTTCGCAAAATTTCATGAAATGGAGCTTGTAACTTCTACCCAAATTCGGATGAGTCAAATTTATTGTCCAGTTAAAAGTGCATCTCTCCAGCTAGTCGATTTTCTTACTTGGAGGATCACCCATTCCGTAAAAATAGCCTCACAATTCGCCTAATTCTGCCCCAATCATTTTGCATAAATGTGAAATTTTCGCAAATTTCATGACATGAAACTCATACAAGTCAAGTGAATCTATTTATTCAGTCCCTTTTCAATTCCACCTCTGCTTTCTGGTCCTGCATGCTAAATAAAATTCTCATCTCGTCTCTCTCTCGTCTCCAGAGTATAAAACCCCGACTGTATACATAGTTGAGAGCCTCGAGGAATCGAGAACCGACGGACGAGGACTGACTTTGACTAAAACATCAATTTCATTCCGTATGGAAAGAAATACAAGCAGCAGCCTTCCAGCAACCACCACCACAATCCCCCCGAAGAAAGAATGAGCTCTGAGGAGAGATATCCAACAAGTTTCTCCCGATCTCATTCCTCCTCCTTATCATCCATCCATCCTTACTTACTCTTCTCGTCGTATTAAAGAAATGGGATGCAATTCGGGCAGGGATGACCAAAATATTTTGGAAAAATGCACCATTTTCAGCTCCGTTCGGGTGTTACACCCACGAAAAGACGAAAATCTACGTGGAGAAGGCAACAGTCGCACGAAAATAGGGGTTTGTCAAGATATTAACTTTTTATCCCAGTAAAAATACATTGTTTTAACGATTTAAAAAAATGCAGTATTTCGACGCCGATAAAAAGTTAATTTTTTCACAAAACTTCACAAAATAATTTTCATAACACTTCTGCTTTCTCCACGTAGATCGCCTTTTCGTGGGTGTAACACCCCCAGAAATCTCAACCCTGGCGTCAAACCTCTTCATTTTTCCAAAATAATTTCCCCACCCCTGAATCCTTCAGTAAAGTAACAAAGTGGAGAAAAACTCATCTATCCGTCTCACTCAAGTTAAAGCCAAACACCCAAAACTACCAGGACCGACATAATAAGTAACAACAATACCTTTTGCTCCTTCATTCCATACAGTAGGAAAAAGTCTGTCTGTCTTAAATTCATTCTCATCTTCTCAGTATCTCAGTCAGTAGTTTAGTTAGTTGGTTTGGTTAAAAAGATACGTCCTTAACATTACAGCTACACTAAAAACACGTTATTGGGATGCGCTGCGCTCTAAAATCCACATCTATCTCTCATGTTCTAGTAGAGATGAGAATAGGCAAGGATAGCTCAGAACGAACAGATTCAGCACACACAAAACCAAACCAAGTTTGCTATTACTAACTTCTAGAAGCGAGAATTTCGTGTAACAGAAAATGTTGATGCTCAAGCTGGAAGGAAAGTGAGTGAGAAGCTCAGTCGAGTTGAGGCAACCCTTCAACGCTCACCTCGCTCACAATTTTCTGCATTTTCTTCTCTCGCAAAATCGTATCTCAAGTAAGTCAAAGTTGAAAAGACGTTGAGTTTTTGGCCCATCTCAAAAAATATTTACAAGTCAAGAGTCTTTTTGTAAACAGATTTTAATTTAAGTGTGGGGAAGTTTGCAGCATTTATTGTTGAATTTAAAAGGTGTGTGACATTGCCCTCTAATTGAGGACGAGGATTAAAAGATAGCGAAAATATTCGCAATTCTCTCGTCTCCTTAATTGGTTTGTTTCGGGGACAAAAGTGGAAAAGTGGTGTGGAAAACCCGAGATTTGCAGTGAAGTGGATGGGAAATAGAGCATATCCATCAATTTCATCCATCCATACGGAATTTTGCTCTGGAAGGATCGGATTATATCATTCCACCGAATCGTGTACGTTCTGTTCAATAAATAAATTATTGTGTGATTCATAATAAATACATGACTTTGAATTCAACACTTGAGGTGATTGAGAACTTTTGATGGTTATTTTGCGATATGTATATATTCAAATTTAAACATGCCAAGCAGTCTAATCTAGTTTTTATTTTCAATGCAAAAATTTTGGTATCTTCAACAGCTTGTTAAATAATAGAGATATATATAAATTTATATCGAGCTATATACATTTTACAAGCGTTCTTTTTCCCCTGCCTGCATCCTTTTTTTTACCAGGACAAAGTCAAGTGGACAATTTAATGTTGTTAATAATATTTGGTAAAGTAAAATATACTTAAATTCGTTCAGGTTTTATCTGTGCAATACGTATTTATTTATTCGATTGGTGATGATTACTGATTGGTTAATACGGTGCGAATTATTAGTCGTGTGGTGTTTTATTAGTGGAGTGACAACAGCGGTCAAGGGAAGAACATTATTATTTTTTGTCTTTGTTCCTTTTTTACGACTAATCAGTAATATTTACTTATCAGAGGCATATTTTCCTAATGCATTCTGCCCATGCAGATAAGATTACGTCGACCTGTGGTTGCTTATCAGTCATCATCTCTCTCTCTCATCAAAGGGAAGGGAAGCGGGTGGGATTTTTTGCAAATACGAATAATCTACTTAAATTGTTCTGGATAGGTGAAAAATGACCAATGACCATATTTTTTATCGGGACGATCCCCACACTCATAACTCGTGGTTTAGCATGACATGGATAAGTACGTTTAATACGACGTTTGGAAGGTTTTACTTTTGGTGGTGTGGTAGTGATTCTATGATGATGATGATGATGATTGCAAATTAGTGCAGATTTGCAAATTTGTATAGCAAAACATAACATTCATAATTTGAACTAGCTTGTGACTTGGTCTCGAGAAAAAATTACGCTACCAACATAACAGCGCAGTTTGGCTAATCAGCATTAACAAAAATTAACGTAATTCTGCATAATTGTTGTTATTCAATATTTATTCATTGCACAGAATGTTTCTACGTGTGTGTACATATGCATATTTATTGTTTGTGTAATACCAATATGTACGTGAGGCTACGTAGGTGCACACATTGTAAAATAAAATGCATACAATTACACATATTTACACAAACAATAACACGAGATTATACATACCAACATAAATACATAAAATTTCCGAGCTAAAAGAATACGTAAACCTGGCATAATTTGTACTTGTGATTTTACAGATTTGCATCTCAACTTCCAGTGACTCTGAACTGGAGATAAACAATCTTTCTTTCTCGTCGTTGGACAGTACTAAAAGTGGAAAAGGAATATAATCCAGTCACGTCCAGCAAGTTGGCTAGAGAGCAAGAACCAAAAACCAAACCAAGTAGTGACCTGGACATTCGTTTATTTTAGTGGAACTTTTTCTCTCACTGTTAGTGAAACCTCTATCTATTAAAAAAACTTTGGGAATTTCGTTCGTTCGTGCTAAAAGGTAATAATTTCGACGACCACGACGACGACAAATCTGGATCCGCAAACAGTTAATTTTGTGATTGAATTTTGGAGAGAAAGAGAGTAAACTTTCTCGCAAAGGAGTAGTAGATCGTACTGAAGGATTCGTTTTTAATCGAGAGGAGGATGATCAAAGAGACAAAGTTCCTTAAGGTGGAGTCGGGGAAGAAAGGTAATTAAAAAAAGAAACTTTTTTTCCTAAATTAGCTAAATTTTGCTGGCTTGCTTTTCTAAGGATAAGTAAAATATTTTTTGGGTGTGGAAATGCCGTTTTTCGTTAATTATGTAAGAAAGTGGGGGAAGGGGGATAGTTTTTGGATGGATTTGTCCGTCCGTTAGTTAACATCATGATAACTTAGCTTTCCAGGCCAGGTCAAAGGTTATAATACTTACTTTAAATGACAAAGAGGTCAAATTGGTAGTATTTTGCAACGTCTATTCTAGTGACCTGCGTGACCTTGTTTGTGACAACGACATGAAACCCCAAAAATGTCGAAATTTTCGTTTTTCTTCAGATTTTTACATATTATTTAAAGCGAACATCTCAGAAACTAACACCATTTCAACATATTTATTTACGATGGAGTAATTTTGTGTCATATTATTCACTATTAAATTTCCAGCATATTTCCAGCTTCTCCTCCTACTTTATCATATCTGTTTCTCAATCTATTACAAAACAAAACTGTTTCTCTACTTGCAAACAACCTGAAAACTAAGGAACGTGCTGCTCTAGACGTACATAAATAAATATGTATACCTTTGACTCCTTCTTCTCTTATCTTATGTAACTATTTATTTATGTTTTCCTTATTAACAAACACAACTTGTATATACGTACAAGAAACCAAACCAGTCAGTCCTTATAAAAGAACTCAAAAGTGAGGTGAGGTGAGAATCAAGTTGAAAGAGCAGCAGGCACTTTTAATCAAGCCAAAGCTTTGACCATGCTACTAGACGGCAAGGACACCTTTTCTTCTTTCATACCTTTTCTTGCTATTAAAATTCTGTACGGACAACTATCTGTACTTGTCAAGTCTACTAAAAATCCGTCCATGCCACAAATAACTACATACTTATGCATACCACTGATAATACACCAGTAGAACATAAATAATACCCATGTGAAGGAGATAAATACTAATAAAAGATGTACGCAGTAAGATTCATCAAACATACCAAAATACAACGTGCAGTTTTATTGATTAATCTCGATTAATATTCATACTCAATGATGAACGAAAAGAATTTAATCCAGCCAAAGGATCCTGTTCTTCTCGAGACTGGAATTACTTTTTGGCTGACGAAACAATGCGTTTCTGTTGCTATACTTGAGTAATGAGTACCAATTAGGGACACAAATTTGGGGCGGTGTTACAAATCAAACCAAGGTGAATGCTAGCATTTATTTATTTGGAACTACTTTTATTATCAAATATCATCTTGTAAAAAGTGCGATGTTGTCGAATTCTGCAATTTAAAAACAATCATGGTTGACACAAGTGGAATAAAAAAAAATCGCAAAATTCATACATACAAATCCGCAATATTTGCCTAGGTGTGCACATATTTCACGTATTTATTACTGCGCCCAACGTCAACCCATCCAGGCGAGTCAAACACATAAACTGCAACACAAACCAATTTCACCTATCAACCCAAATACTTGATAAGGTTGAATAAATCAGGACTATTTCTGCCTGCCATTAAGGATCGATATTGAAAGAACGCCATGTACGATATTGAATATCAAAGTTCAGTCAGATATCGCCACCTGCGCTTATTTAGCTTGTTTCATATTGTGACTTATTTCAAGTCATTATGCAAAATCATTTCCAAGTATCCAATTATTAGTCTTTATGAGTGCAGCCAATGGTGGTGGTGGTACACACAACAATGTTAAACCATTTGCAGGACGCAGTGGCCGCGGAAGCCGTGGGGACATTCGGGGGACATTAACACTGCAGAATGGGGGAGGGACTCGGAGGGAGGGGTTTATATAAGATGGGCAGATGATGCGGACATCTAACAACCGTGGGGACATTGTCCCTGTTCCGCGGCCACTGCGAACGAGCCAGCATAATAATATAACCCACGAATACGATGTAATTAAAGGGTTGGGAAAACCTCATCTATTGTTGTGTCCTTCACAATTCATAGGTCCAACTTCCAACATTTTTGGTGGTCTGGTCTGGTCTCTGCTCTGTTCCTCTACATATTTCAGTTTTTGTCACGAATTAATGATCAAAAATGTGCATACATGCATACAATTTTCAAATCGTTATATTAAATACAAAAGTAAAAGTGAAGTGTGTCAAGCCCGACCGAGAGTCCGAGAGGAGTCGATTTTTTTCATGCACAGTAATCCATCCATCCAAAAAGTTTAATTATCGCCGGGGCCAAGTCCAAGATCAATCTAAAAGATAACAATAGAATAGAATTTTTAGCCATCTATCAGCCCCAGCAATGTGTCGATGGGGGTTCCCACACACACACATTGTACGCATCACATACTTATTATTTGATCGATGCATGCATTATTACAAAGGAGACAGCAAATAATAAAAGCTTGAAAACAATCCACGATGGCGAGAAGAACCTTTAAAATTTAGCTGGGACATCGGCACAGAAATACGTACATAATACTAACATATTTACATATTGACATATTAACATAGTAGAATTCTAGAGAGGTTTGATATGCGCATTGTATTTTGTTACTTGGTGTACCAGTGGCCGCGGAAGCTGTGGGGACATCTGGGGACATTAACATTGCAGGATGGGGGAGGGCCGGGTTTATATAAGATAGGGAGATGATGCGTACATCAAATAACCGTGGGGACATTGTCCCTCTGTGTCCCCACGATTCCGCGGCCACTGGATACTTGGTACAGCATTCAATGACATGTACTATGGACCCATAAATGACATGGTTGGTGAATAGAACTATTGTCAATTTTAGTTTACTGATCATCCTACCAATGACCCGACCATTCAGTCAGTATTATATTTTTGACCATTAATTATTCAATAATTCCGTTGAATACTCTTCTGTCTCAGGGCTACGATTATTATTATGTATTTCTTTCTGTACCCACCCCCATTAAATATTATTGTAACTTGTTAAATCATCAATACAATCCACTACACTGTTAGGATGCTGTTTAAATAATTCAAATCTTTCTTTTCTTAACCTTACAAGTGTACACTTCATTACTTTACGGTGTTGGTGTGGTCATTATCATTTGGCTAACAACAATTGCTCATTGACTTCAACATTATATTTATGCTAATTAATTCCATACCCAAGTAACAGTCTAATTATATGTTAAAAGTCTAGTCATTATTGCGACACGAAAGTAACAGCAGAAGCTTAAGCAAAAATAATACTTGGAAAAATGACCACCATTTTATTCTCTTAATATGCGGCTCATCGACTCGAAGCGCTTTTAATGATATGGATTTGTAAATAAATATCTATCCACATAGCCAAAAAAAATCAATAAAGTGTTGTTTAGTTTGGCAACAAAATGGCTTATGTACATACTTTTTTGTACATTTGTAACGTAACGTAGTCCAGTTTTAGTCAGGTACTCGATTCACGAGTGTATTTAGTTGAATTACACATAAAACTTGTGGTGCCTTGTTTTTATTTTACTTCACATTTTGAAGTTAAGGCCGACTTAGGTAATTTTTTTTAAAGGAGAGGCAAGAACACAACAGTGTGTACATAAATACAAGTCAATGAATTATCTGCAATGTCATCTCGTACAACGAAGGGAATGAAATATACTTTTGCTTTCAGTCGTAGTGGCTGCATTGACTTTACTTCCATACTAATTCTTACTTAATGTAGAAATAAATAAAAAAAGGCTCTGTAATTAATTAGCATTGAGAACACAGTAAAAAAATGAATAATATTATGTACGCACTGGACTGGCCTGGCACCACCAAGCAAGTTTTCAGCAAATAAATGCATATATGCGGCTAATTCAGTAATTAATTAATGACTTACAAATGTACATACGTATGAAGCGATTTATGGTTGTCATTCAGTCTGGCATTTTTTGTTACAAGTAACAAAATAACATAATGTATGTAACACGTTCGATCATTAATGAATCTGGATTCAAAATAAAAAAGCTAGCATTAATTAATTACAAATTCTACGAACTTTACCGCACTGTAACATATTAATCATTATATTTCAAAATCGGAAATTTATTAGTACAAACTAATTAAATCATGGTTATTTATAAAGTAAAAACAAATTATTATATTTGCTTGTAGAAACATTGGTTTGTTATAAATAATCTGCATTTATATCGTAATAATATGAAATTTTGCCACATTTTATTATCGACTTTAAAAATCGACAAAATATTTTGAAAAATATTTATTCTGGTTTTCAGTCACCTCACCTCTCTCTCAAAATTAGTAGGTTGCAGTGATACGATATAAATAAATGAATATAAATGTTCACTTTTCCACATATTTGCTTAACCTAACCTTTTATACAATAAGTTTACTTGTATGTACAACTGCTTGCCTGCGAATTTTTAGAGGTGAGTGAGACAATTATAAACACCACCGCTGTGAAAAATTCTGTAACGTTTTTAGTAAAAGCTACAGTACAGACTGAAATATGTACATTACATGAACCAAAAATCTTGTTAACCTTCGCCAGCTCTCAATCGGCACTCAATTTTAGCTTGGTTTATATTCGTCGTCTTCACCTGCCCCGTACACCATATCGAGCATCAATAATATTGATATTACAGAAGTACTAGTGCAAATTCAGATGGTGAATTAAGGTCACATATCTTATTTCATGCATATTTTGTTACTTACTTAGGATGAAATTTTGCGCTATATTTACATATTATTCACTTAAAATTGCGTCAAAAAGGCATGTCATGGTTGAAGAGTTTTTCGTACCAAGTTAAAAAAGTGTGTTTCCTATGTGTACAAAATTTCATCAGAGATGAGAAGGCGTACATGCATACTTTTTCATACGGAATAAATGCATAAGCAGAAGCCGCCTTTGTTTTAATTAATTAGCAAGATTATGCAATACCGAATATCCAAAGATTGGTTGAATGAATCTCCTTACCTTACTAATTTTACGATTTAACGACTCCTGCCGTTTTTTTCTAAGAAAAATTAATGGCA